TAATTATACTTATTCGAACCATTCATAGAGTCTGCTCATAGAGTTTCACTTACTTACCTAGTCGCCGCAGAGCTTCTTACCTAATAGGACTTAGGCAAGAGTCTCCATCCCCATCACGATAGTCCCAATTTTGAACAAAGACTATTTTTGATGCTCATGCAGACTCGCGTACATTTTGTTCCTCTACAACTAATTGAAATATTCCTTACCGAATTTTTTCAGACCGAATGGCAGTTAACGGTGAGCGGTCATAAACGAAACGGCAAGCCACTCTTGGAGGTCTCACGATTCTTCCAGAATATCAGCTCTCATTCTCCTGTCACAGATATGAGCATCGTAAGTTACTCACTTCGGAGGCGCCTCAGAATTTGCCATGGTTCTCAACTACTTCATCATTACTGGTTTCAGGAAGCTGGAGAACGTCACAATAAGCTTTTCGTTTTCTGTAGAATGCGAAGCAAACTTCTATGGCCCGACGTGTACCGTATTTTGCAATGAAACCTTCAGAGAGTAAGTGCTCTTTATTGGTTCAATTCAGCCACCTTGGTACTCTTTACCATTTTCTCATTTATTTCACACGATGTTACCTCTGTGCAAATCCAGGATTTCAGCCAAAACGGAGGTACCTTCAAGTGCTCACCGGATGGGAGGAAGCTATGCGAGAAAGGATGGGGCGGTCCTCTGTGCAACGAGCCTCAGTGCGACCAAAGATGTTCTCATGGCACATGCACGGCGCCAAACACTTGCAGGTGATTTCGACAGCCAGACAGTTTTTGGTCCTCGAATGTCATGCAACAGCTGCATGCACATGACTAAACTGACGATGAAAAAAATTGACGCGGGGTGGTCCATCGCCATATTCTCTTAGTTGCAACTGAAGAATTATTAGGGCCTCGTTTCTCAGGGATGTGTTGAAAAAGTATACAATCGCATGCAGAATTATGAATTGAAGGTACCGCAATACGAACCATATTATAAAAAGTGAAGGAATAAATCGCTCAGCGTCAGCATACGCCATGCATTCGACTTCTAGTTGAAATTGTAGCAGGAAACGGCCTACAAGGAGAAAAGTCATTGCGGTGAGGGAAATAGGCACCCGCGTTCACCTCTCGGTGGCAGCTTGCGACATGTTTTCAGTGAAAACACAAGTTCGTCCACCCATTCACACCGCCAATTCCCAAAAATCTTCAGTCAACTGGGGGAGTGAAGAGGGGGAAGGGATTTGAAGGGCATGCACAGAAGACAACTACAGCAAGAGCGAGCGTACATCGATGCTTCACTGTCCTTCCCTCACCCATCAACCCTCAAACACAATGTGAATCACTCTCCTTGGGCCAAATACAATCCCCCTCCCTTGATTTGATTGCGATTGGTGTTGGTCAGGATTCTGCAAATTCGGCTTACTTGTTACATCTGCGAAGTGCGCTCTGCGATCGCCCGGATATCTTTGTGATTTTTTTCAAAAATATCTCAGAAAAAATGACGCACTCTCGACAATTCGCTGAAGGCTTTTAATTAAAGACTCATCCCACTCTCGATATGGCTCACAAATATGGAGCCCTCATACTAAGAAGCTCCAGGCGAAAATCGAAAAGGTGCAGCAAAATTTCACGAGAGTTTTGATGTGTCGTTGTTTTCCCAGTCCTGAGTGTCCGCATAGTATGCCCAGCTAACAAGAGCGCCTACACATTTTCAACACTCGAATCACTAATGCCAGAGACCGAGTGTTCAATTATTTTGTCCAAACGATACTGAAAGGAAAGCTAAGGTTGAAAGAGGTTGTCCTTACAGATGTCCTAACTGTGGGCAGCAGAAGCCAGCTGAACCATGGGTTTTCAATTCACAATGTTTTTCCATGGAGCCGAGTATCTTACTTTCCATCAACCTGTCAGGAGGCGCCTAACACCTACACGTTTAGAGGAAGCTAAAGAAGGTTGACCTGATGACCTTGCTAAGCATTCAGGATTCCTGAAACCAGCAGTTTAGTGAAGTCTCTCCTCGGTTGTTTTGTGTTACCGAATTTTGTTTTTTTTTAGTAATTGTATTGTGTTTGTTCATGACTCGAATTTTATCGGCCACACTGTTAGCGCACCGCTATGGTATTCGTATTGTTGTTTGTTCTATGACTCGAAGCCTTATCGCTTGCACTGTTTAGCGCACCTATGCGTGCATGATAAATAAATAAATAAATAAATACAGGGAATATAGAGGGAATATCCTTCAGCACTACAGTGTTTCTGGTGGGAATTGCGGACAATCGTGATGGGACTCGTAACTGAAAATCAGTTTCCTGTGGTGGTGGAGTTCTCGAAATACTGGGCCACAGCAAAAGCGTTACAGTTTTCAAAAGAAGGAAATCCTTCTATTTCTAGGATGCGGCTAGGCTCTGCTTCAGGTGCTTGGGTGTAGGTGTATACATTCAAAGGTCGAAAAATGGAATGAAACATTGATCGCCTTGATTTTTTGCAGAAGCTGCACTACAACCTGCTCGTTTGAGCTTTACTTTTGCTATTAGTCGCGGCCATGGTGAACCTCGCCTACAATTTTGTTGAATGTTCTTCTTAGAGGAATTTATACTGGAATCTACAGTATTTCGATGGAGTCGATAGAGCGTGAAATTTCAATGCCGTTTTGGAAAAGGGATCGCATAGACACTCCCTTTCGAGGGACTTGGCTGCGGTGATACTGAAGGTCCACTTTTCGCGACGTCATGCTCTACCCAGCATGCTACATATTATTTCTCTCCTAACCAATATTTCGTTCTTGTCCTGGAGGCCTTTTATCTTGGTTCAGTTTTCCGATGAATTTCACGAAGCGCTTTCCCTCTTCCCATCGTCTGCTGCCCAAGATCCATTTTCTACACCTCTTATGTGAAAAGCTACATCTTGTTCTTTTGATATTTCTTCATTTTTCTTTACAGGTGCGATTTTGGATGGAAAGGATCATCCTGTTCAGAATGTGTGCCTCTGGCAGGATGCCTGCATGGTTCTTGTCGATTAGCACACCAATGCATTTGTGATCCGAATTGGGGCGGACTTCTTTGTGAGGTGTAAGTCTGTCTTTTTCGTCTGTTTTTTTCGAGAATGTACCTCCTGTCTCCGACACTGGAATGCTGGACAAATCAAATTCCAGATCGGAACTTTATAGTTTCTATTGAAACCTTAGCTATAGAAAGAGAAATTCTCCCTTATGAAATCATTCAGGGATCTTGACTTCTGCTCTAATCACAAAAATGTTTGTCAAAACGGAGGATTATGCATTGCTGATGCAATCAACTCCTACAAATGCAATTGTCTTGAAGGATTCGAAGGAAGGAACTGCGAGAGACTGGTAACAAAATAAAATACTATTCTAGATCTGTTGCAATACCACTCTTGCCAAACCTCTACTTTTTGAAGTGGCTGCCATGTCCCATCTTCTATGAATTTCGACATTTTCTCGATATCTACATGAAAGGCATAAAACACGATAATTTGGTACTCGATCTAAAATGCTAGCAGGGCGCTATGCAGTGGGAAAAACGATGTGAAACGGCCTAAAAACCTGCGAAGAGAAGCCTTTCCGTCCGTTCTTCATGACTCAGAAAGCGATTTCGGACGAGTTCCCCGAAGAGATCCTGCCAATAACCGCTACGGTAGATACGGCCGCGGCCGTACGTCGTCCGTTTGTGGGCGGGCGGGCGCGATGGGCGTACGGGTCGGTATGTTGCAAGCTGATAAGGCCTCATGAGGTTATCTTCCTTAGAAAAGGCGCCAGGCAGCGCCTACGGCAGGGGATGGAATTCCGCGTATTATGCCTGCTCCCGCTCTAAGGATTTTACGGTCGCCCAACTGCCTTCTAACACCATCTTAGCACTGTTCACGTGCTTGCTATACACAATTACCGGCCGAGGTTCCGGAACCAGCTTCAGAATTCAGTGCCCCTTCCCTGCAATGTCTTCTCCAATACCTTCACATTTCCGATATCAGGTCTCCTTTTTTTTTAAATTGCTATTCCGCTTTTATCGTTTGAGGCAATGAAGAATCGAAATCGACTCTTGATGAATGCAGCTGCGGTGAAGGAGTCTGCGTTATATGAAACCGACACCTCGCTGCGAGTACCATAATAGTAAGTGTCACAATGTTTTCAAAATTTCACGAGTTTCGAAAGGCATCTTTAGAGCAAACAAAGAAATTAGGAAGTGCGCTTCTGCGCAAACATTGGGAACAGACTTGTAAGAGGTTCAACGGCGCCTAGAAAAATTACGGTTCATGGCTTGTGAGCTATACTCAGGGCTGTTTGCGAACATGTCATCATAGATAAGCTCACGTTCTGCCACTCATCCGATTTAGCCATCCAACGGTACTACACAGTCTCTGATCAAATTAATACAAGCGAACAAATATTTACGCTCCGTTTTTTTTTGAATACTACCTCAAATTTCAGATGTGACGTCCAATGCTGCCAGTCGAATCGATTTTCTTGTGGTGAGCTTGGTCCTTCTGATGGTCGCTCTGTGCCTTGCCATCGTTAGCATCGTGATCAGACTGATATGTGAACGACTAGAAGTTATCCACAGAATGGTATTTTGTGATTTCCCATATTTGAACTCCGATAAAATTAAATGTATTCCAGCAAGTGGTATGTTGGTGTTTTGCTGATAGGGTCCCAATAAGATAATAGCGTTCCAAGGGCTGATTTTCATGTTAATGATGAGCACCACCTCTCAGAGGAAGGGAACCAATGATGAAGTGCAATAGCTCTAGTGACTCCTCCCCTATGACCACAGTAAGATGTGCGAACCCGCCAGCCCATTTTTCCTATATTGTAGATAGGTAATGCTGGCAGCTATCGGTAGAAAACAGGCTGGCACCGGGTCACTCTCAGATCCTGGCACGCCCCAAACTCCAATGTCCGCCGAGAAGAAGACTGTATATCTATTTGTTCGTTTGAACAAGGCAAAATTTTTTTACAACCTCAAAAAGGCATAATCAAGTAGTAGATCTCTTAAATTCGTCTAATTTGATATTTTATAGAGCCCCTTTGGGTACTCTGCACATTGGGTGGCAGCAGAAGTGCGTGTTCGGGAACCAACCAGAAGATACGGTAAGTCATACATGTCTCACCGGTTTCTCACTTCGACGAGCAGCGGTAATGAAAGAGCATCTAGGCGCTGTTTGTCGACGGGGGGCAGTACTACCAACTGCTTTCCGCTAGTTCCGCTTTACAAAATCTCACCTGGTAAAACTTGAGAAACCCGTTTGTGAAGCTGGTGCAAGAATCGTCTAGCCACATCTGAAACATATGTCTCAACGGCCTACCTAGATGGGTCGGTGACACATCTTGGAGAAGCCAGAATGCCGCCCTCATGTCGACAACTGTGCCGAGCATCTGTGCATTGGCAGTATTAATATTATGTTTCCTCTTCCGACCCACATGCGCGGTTATCGGACACACATTTCACGATTGAAGGAGTGCTTTCTCTATATAAGAAGTACAAAAACGTACAGATCACTTTAGGGCACGGTCCGCGATCACGTGTAGAAGTTGAAAATATGGCGTCGAAAGGGTGGTGTTGTCCGCTATGAACAATCTTGTACCGGTTTCGTGAATTTTGACACGGGAGGGGCGGTTTGCGCAATATATATAGGTTCAGTGACGCCTCCTTTTTTAAGTGACTCCTCCTCCAAACTCGGTCTCAGGGCCCGCCTTTCAGTGAAAACGAAGCTGCAGGACGAAGACATGAAAACGAAAGAACCGGCACTTGTACGGTCGTAGACTGCTCATCGGGGAATCAGCTGTAGAGATGAGGGCGTGGTGTTGAGATGGAGTTAACTGGGCGCGTACAAACTGGGTTCTGTCTAGGGCGGCTTGCATTTTTCTCCTTTTTTCTTCATTTTCGAGTTACTTGGAACCTTGTCGTCAACAAGCACATCCCCAAATCCACTAGAGCTGCGATGGCTGATGATCGCGAGCTTTGGCTTCTACCACTAGAGAAGCGAAGCGAAAGGAGCTTCTGATTACAGTGTATCTTAGCTTCAGGAAAAGGACAAAGCCCTTGCCGTTAATCCATTATTTTTTGAAAAGCGGCACTCGTTTTACTTCTATTCGGAATCATAGGGAATCCTAGTGCTCACTGAATGCAGTGTGGCCCATAAAATGAGTTAAGGGGGATAGCTGCAGTAAGTGTACGTACCCTCCCAGACGAATTGGTACCAATTTACCGTTCTCAGAGGAAAGGTTGGGTTGGCTTAGGGGGAGCCACTTATTTAGTGTGCGACTAACCGTCGTATCTGTCGTACTCCTCGTTTTAATGCTTCTCTCGCTGTTCTTTTCTGATCATTCCTCTTGAAATTCTCTCAAAGTAATCATCAATTCTTCGCCTCTTGCTTGGAACAAGGAAGGCCTCATTCCGAGCCCTTTCCAGCTTTTCCTCCAATCTTCTGCTTTACATGCAGACCATGTACGCTTCTGTTTTACCACCCTACCACCTATATACAAACTGCGCAAAAAACTTTGCCCGGTACACCGCGAAGTCTGCCTTTAACCTAACTGCACGACCCATTAGTGGGATTGACGACCCATTAGTTGTCAATCTGGAGATCTGAGAATGATGTGGGGGTCGCCAGAAAAAGTGCTATTAAATACATAAGGAGAGGGGTACCTCCAAAGCAGATGACAGGAATCTCTGCGGATCGAGAGAGCGTTTCTCGTTATGAACGAACAAACGAAAAACTGGCAAGACCGCCTCGCACGCCGTTTCCTGTTCAGACGATAGCCGGAGGTTTTCTTTGAACAGTAGCTCTGTCCGCAAGCACAGATTATGTATTACTTTTGCAGCTCAAATACACGAAAGGAAAACGCAACTATTTAGCGACAACCTGCCGCACCGCCTATTGGGCGAGCAGCGCCTAAATTTCTTCTCTAGAAGCTCACTAGTGGTGCACATGCTCCACTACTAAGTCTCTCCATTTCGAGTGAACTTTGAGGGGGGGGAGGGATTAGAAGGTGAACGAGCTGATACCAACAAGTGAAAATTGGTCCGATTGCGAATTTTCTTCGTCTCATTCGAAGGGCGGGTTTTTTTCTGCTTTCTACAAACGCAGTTCACCATGCAGTTCTATATGCGGTATTTCCAGCGGTTTTTTTTCTGCTTTTTTCTCGCTCCTCTGTTATTCGCCATTCTGCCCTTGGTGTATGAACCGCACTGACTACTTTTACACGCAGTCATTTCAAGTTAGAAAGTTTCCAGAAGGTCGGTTAATCATTGAATGAGAATGGTGTTCCCTATTGCAGATAAAAAAGTGCGGTCATCCTCTCCGCCACCCAGTTATGAAACTGGCCCCGCCTGCTCTTCGTGGAGATCGTCAACTACGGAATTCATCGACGAAGCTAGTGTCTAGTCGATTTTTGCCTCTTCATTGGAAACGGGAATTAATTACTGTCGATATGAAAAACTTAGACACTGTTCTGTATTTTTCTCGAAACAGAACGGATCAACATTTGTTTTGTTTTCTAAGGTCAACCTGAAGAATCCTGTGATTTGTGATAATTGTTGGTAACCATGACAATACGGTATATACAAATGTACAAAAGTGAAGTTACTCTACATCAAAATGGCATAATTACCTGCAATGTATAGAGCGTTTATCTTTGTACAATCAATCAATAAATAATTTAAACTCGTTTCTTTGATATGAGAAGCTGAATAGTATGAACCATACATTCCAACGCGAATGATGGTCTCATCTGACTGAACCCATGTTAGCCAGAAATCCTTTCAATTTTTTGCCATCTGTTCTAACACTTTCAACTCAGAGTGTGGCTCATAGATATACACGGAGGGGAGGGGGAGGAG